ACCTGAGGAGCCTGCCTTGTAGGTGTGGGAGAGAACACAGGAAGGCCTGCTGGGCTTTGTCACACCTGGCTCACCTGGATCTTAAGATAGTCACAGAGCCACCCAAGCTCCTCTTGATGTGAAAGCATCATTTCCAAGATGCTAGGATGAGCCAGACTGGCACCCCTGAGTCCTAACTCATCCCTCTTGACTGGGTTTTCTGGGGGACATTCTGGGCATTGAGGTATGCCTTGGGCTAATGCCTGTGGGCAAAACTTTGCCCAGGAGCCAGGCCCCAGCCCAGTGCCTCCCTGCCAGCATGGGGACACTGAAAGGCTAGGCCTAAGGGCAGAGTGGTTAAGGCAAGTAGAGTGACCCGAATTTTAATCTCAACTGCATTGCCTACCGCTGGATGGTTTAGAGCAAGTGACTTCACCTTCCTGAGCCCATTTCTTCCTCTGGATGATGGATGAATAAGTAGGACCACCTCACAGGATTGGAGTAAGGCTTGAACAGGATGAGCCTCTAAGGCACCCAGCAAGTGCACCCAGCAACAGCTGGGAGGAAGGCACCCACAGTGAGTCTTACAGCTGCCGTGGGGAAGAGTTGGCCCTGGAGCCTGGGGCAGGGGTGGGAACTGGGAACTGAGAAGAGGAAAGGAGGGTGAGGTCTGCACAGTGAGCCCAGTGAACTTGGGAGGCCAGTGCAGGTGAGGAGTACATCCTCCTCACCTGGCCCTGTGCGCCACCATAGTCCCGTGGAAAGGAGTGGACCTTGTGGCCCCCAGAGCTGTGCTTTCCTCCGTCCAGAAATCACATCAGGAGGGCAGACCCCGTGGGCTGCTTCCCCATCCTGCTTTGTTCCTCAGAGGATTGTCCATCCTGGGAACATTTTCAAGGACAGAGGCGGAAGCCTGGTCTTGGCTAGAACTCTGCCGGCAACAAGGGGCTACGCTGCCAAGCAGATCCCTCCCCTCCCCCCAGTAGCCCTGGGGGGCTACTGGACTTGGTGCCCAGGAACTCAGGACCGTGGGGAGAGCAAGGCCCAGTGACATCAGAGGCCTAGTGACATCAGAGGGGCATCTCACAAGCAGTTCCCTAGAGAGCTGAAGGCAGCTGAGTCTCACGTGCATCCAAGTGAGGAGTGTTCTGTCTGCACCCACGAGTCTGCGAAACAGCTGCTCTGTGCCAGGCTTACGTTGGCCTGGGGCCCCTAGAGGAACCAGCTACACTTGTTCCCCCACCCATACCCTGCAGTTTGCTCCAAAGGAAAGGGGGTAGGGTGGAACCCGTGTTCCAAAGGGGCCTCCAAGGCAAATGCTCAGAGCGTGGGAGCTCATCGGTGTTTGCCTCTGTGCACGGGCAGCTGTGTGGCTGAGGGTTTCTGCTTCAGGATTGTGCCTTGTTGTGGCTGAGACAGGAATTCTGTGGAGGCTTGGGCTGTGGGTGCGGGCCTTAGCCACAAGCTAGTGGTCTCAGGAATGGGGCCACCTGGAGCCCCTGCAGGGCGGTGTCCTGTGCACCTAATCCCACCTGGTCCCCTCTCCCGCAGCCCCTACTCCTCGAGTGATGCAGGGAGATCCGGGACAGGGAGGTGACAGGCTTCAGAGGCCTGTGGTTCATTTAATCCTACGTTTGCCGGGTGCAGAGCAGGAATGCTGCACAGAGCACATTCAACATGACCTCTCCATAGTTCTGTAGGTTGGCGTGATTTTGATTCCGCCTTGAGAAATAGGGAATCTGAGGTACAAAATGTGAGGTAACTTTTCTGAGGTGCCAGTTGTAAGAGGGGGTATTTGGCTTGGTCTCTCTGACCTCAAAGCCCAGGCCCTTTCCCCATTCAACTCCCCTACTGTACAGATGGGGAAACTGAGGCAGATAAGCCTGGGACCCCCTCATCCTCCTCTGCCTCCCTAGGACCCTAGAGCCTACTCTGCACGGTGTCCCACTCAACCTGACCATAGCAGCCAGGGACTTGGGGTGGCCATGGCCACATCCCCAGAAGGGAGCAACCTGGGTACTGCCCCGCAGCCCAACATCACACGTCCTGCCTGTCGTAATTAGCAATGTTCCCTGGCCAGAAGCAGCAAATGTCATTACGTGGACTGGCGGGCCGCTGAAATCCGATTAGAGGGGCCTCGCTCCACAGGCCGTGGCAGGTGCTCAGACCCGGGAAAATGAGCGACAGAAGAGCTACCCCATACTCCCCCCTCCCCCAACTCCTATAATGTTCCTCAGTCCCAGCCTGAGCTTCAGGCAGGGTGGAAAGGGCCCAAGCATAGCCATGGGTCCAGTGGGGCTTATGAGAGCCTGGAGGGGACGTGGGCTCAGTTCACCTGGTGGGCTGCAGGCAGGGGTGTAACCCAAGACCCAGAGGTGGGAGATCCAGCCGTGGTCTTGTCCCATTGCCAGCTCTGCCTTACCCCAACCACGTGACCCTGGGCAAGTGGCATTTCTAAGCCTCAGTTTGACCATATGCAGCCTCGGGCTAAGATTGCCCATCTTGGGTGGTTTCATGAGGCTCCCAGAGCTGGGCACCTGGAAAGTGCTCGGTGACCATTTGCTGCTTCCGTGTTCATCTCCTCATACCTGCATCTCCTCCCTCCAGACCTCCTGCCCCCCGAGGTCTGCAGTCTCCTGAACCCAGCAGCCATCTATGCCAACAACGAGATCAGCCTGCGTGATGTCGAAGTCTATGGCTTCGACTACGACTACACACTGGCCCAGTACGCAGATGCGCTGCACCCTGAGATCTTCAGTGCCGCCCGCGACATCCTGATTGAGCACTACAAGGTGAGGCTGGCCGGGCAGACGGCCCAGGCCCCGGGGGAACCTCAGGCTGAGTCACGGAGGTCCCCTGAGGTACCTGCGCAGCCAGAGGTCTGGCATTGCCACTGGCTCAGGCGTGGCGCACTTCCCCCCCGACAGTACCCAGAGGGGATCCGGAAATATGACTACGACCCTAGCTTTGCCATCCGAGGCCTCCACTATGACATTCAGAAGGTGAGTGGCTAGGCCATGTTCTCCGCGGGGCCCCCCCTGACTGGATGTGCATCAGCACTACTTCCTTAGCCCCCATCCTCTATAAGGGGCTACCCCTGGCCTCACAGCTGTAGCTTCACGGGCACTTAATCCCCTTGGTACCTTCCAGCTGGGGCTTCAGCACAGGGACTGGAAGAGGCTGGCTTGGATGAATGCAAGCCCCTTTCTTACCACCCATCCCATTCCCCTGGTGCTCCCAGAGCCTTCTGATGAAGATTGATGCCTTCCATTATGTGCAGCTGGGGACGGCCTACAGGTCAGTGCAGACTGCCCTGCCTGACCCTGCTGTCCCCCCACCCCCTCAACCTGCATCTTACACCGTGGCCTCAGCTCAGGACCACTTCAGACTCATGATGTCTGTGCATCCACCCAGGGGCCTCCAGCCTGTGCCTGATGAGGAGGTGATAGACCTATATGGGGGCACCCAGCACATCCCACTGTACCAGATGAGTGGCTTCTACGGCAAGGTACTTGCTCCGTCTAACACTGCCACTGGCCGGGGCAGGCAGCTCAGTGATCTCGCTGTGGGTGCCCTCACCCTGGTGGGCTGGCTCACCCAGCAGGTAGTTTCCCTCTACCAGTGTCCCAAGGGACACTGGTCTCCAGGGCGAGGGGCAGTAGGGATAGAGGGGCTGCTGAGGTGGCTGCTCCCTCCACAGGGTCCCTCCATCAAGCAGTTCATGGACATCTTCTCACTGCCGGAAATGGCACTGCTGTCCTGCGTGGTGGACCACTTCCTGAGTCACGGCCTGGAGTTTGACCAGGCACACCTCTACAAGGATGTGACAGTGAGGACATTGGGCCTGCCTCTCGGGGTGGCAGGGAAGATCAAGTCAGCCACAGCGGGGCAGGCCTTCTTGGCCCCACTGCACCCTCACAGTCCTTCTCCTACCCCCAGGATGCCATTCGAGATGTGCACGTGAAGGGCCTCATGTACCAGTGGATCGAACAGGATATGGGTAAGGGTAGACAGTAGCCCTGCTGCGGCTTTCTGGGCAGGGGGCCGGGCTGGCCCTCACAGACCCATCTCCCTGTTAGAGAAGTACATCCTGAGAGGGGACGAGACCTTCGCCGTCTTGAGCCGCCTGGTGGCCCATGGGAAGCAGCTCTTCCTCATCACCAACAGTCCTTTCAGCTTCGTGTGAGCTGCCTGCGGTGGGGAG